AAAAACACAGGACTAAGTAGTTTAGTGACAACTGTGCTTGGACCCTTGGATAGGGGTTATGTAAGATCTAGCGAATAAGTAGCTTCGTAGTTGGAGTAAATGCACCTTCCACGATTGAGGGTACCCTACTTCTAACCGTGTCTGGAAATTGGTACTAAGTGTCACAGCAGTAGCTCAAGTCAGCCAAGAGCTGAAGCGTCAGAGCAGTGGGGACTCAAGTCAGACCTTAAGATCTGGCAATCTATAGCCTTCCAGGACCTTGGGTTTGGGGTTTAGGGGTTCAGGGGTTTAGGGGTTTAGGCTTTGGGGGTTTTGTGGTTTAGGGTTTAGGGGTGTTAGGGTTCAGAGGCATTGGGGTTAGGGTTTAGGGTTTAGGTTAAGGGAGCCTGCTAGGACGTGAGGATCAGGCCCCGTGAAGTATCCAGATTAGTACAACCCCATAGGCAACCGAATATAGTCAAAACCCTATTCTTATTAAGGCCCCTAAACCCTAAACCCTTATAGTAGCCCCTATAGAACCCTTCAAGGAACCCCTTTTATCAAGGCCCCTACATGAACCCACATGTTAAGTCCATCAGCCCCTTCCGTCTTCAGTGGTCCTTGGGAGTCGAGTAGGGACGTCGTAGCCTCAAAGCCAAGAGCGCGGTGTTTCAGCAAAATCTCAGACATGACAAGTTCACATCAGCATGTCCTACGCACATCCAGAAACCCTGCAGAAGGAAACTACAACAATAGGGTTTGGGGTTTAGGGTTACCGAGCACTAAGACTTGTATAAACAATCTAAAATCCATAGCCCAAGCCTTGACACTACCCTAACAGGCTTTTTCGCCCAATCGACTCCGCAGTGGGCTTTATTTACATGGCGCTCAAAAAGGCCTTGTACGGGTTCATAGGGTTTAGGAACTGTCTCAAGCGGTATAATGGAGTCATATGACCCTGGGTGCGATAATCTTGGCTATAACTCTACATTCTGACAAGTCTCCTGATCCTCTAACAAATCCTAAACCCCTTTAGTAGCCCCTTTCGATTTTTTATAAAGCCCTAGACCCCTAAACCATAACTGACTCTAAACTCTAACGGACTGGGTCCTAAAGACCTATATGGGGAACACTTACCCAAACCATCATATTAACTCCCACTATAGAAGCCCTACCTATATTCTACACGCAATCAGGTATTTAGGCCCTTTTGGGAATGTGTAGCTAGACCCCTAAACTCTAAACCCTAAACTCTGAACCCTAGCCCTTTATTCCCTAAATCCCTAAAGCCCTAAACCCTACACCCCTAAACCCTAAACCCTAAACCCTTAAACCCCTAAGCCCTAAACCCCCAAAGCCCTAAACCCAAACCTCTAAACCCTAAGCTCTAAATCCTAAGCCTTAAACTCTAGTCAGCCCTAAGACCGAAGCAATCCCAGCTGCCTTGAGGTTGATGAGGAGCAGGACCGGCGGGGCACGGGATAAATTGCAACACTTTAGGTTTTTTCGGCGTTCTACAAGAGCTACTGTCCCTAAACCCTACACCCTAAACCCCTAAACCCCAAAGCCTAAGCCTTATAAGGGTTCTAAGTCAGGGGTTTAGGGTACAGGGTTCTCTCAGAGTGAGGCCTTTAAGGCCTCTTGGGGTGTACGGTTTCGGCCCGAGGGTTTGAGGGTTTAAGGGTTTAGGATTTGAGGGTTTAGGGTTTATTTAGGGTTGAGGGTTTAGGGTTTAGGGTTTAGGGTTTAGGGTTTAGGATTTGAGGGTTTAGGGTTTAGGGTTTAGGATTTCAGGGTTTAGGGTTCAGGGCTTTGGGCCTATGGTTTAGCCTCAAAACTCTGAACCCTATGCCTAGAATCCTAGTAGCCAGTAGCGAACTTGTTATCTCATGAGGTGTGTGCAACCCACCCGACATTACACGCCCTAAACCCTAAACCTTGTAAGGATTTGGGGTTCTAGGGAAGGCGTTGATGGCCTGACCAAGGGCGCAAGGTTCCCAGATGTTAAGTGGATATACTGTAGGGGCCTTAATAATTGCCTAAACTATTTTAGGGGTTCCTGATTATAACTATAGTATAATGGGCCCCAAAACCCTATTCTATTTATTAGGGCCCCTACATTTACACCAGCGGTGTTTTGCAGTCCAGGCGCGAAGGTGGCCGGTGGGGAGCGTTGCGCGTTAAAGCTTTTAGCTGCTGCCGATGATGCTGGACCGACAGCGGCTCCGGAGACCACTGACAGAGTCCTTGCGGATGATGCTGGGCCGACAGCAAGTCCCGCCATCACTGCCGGAGCCCTTGCACGCTCTAGCTCTTCCAGCGAAGGGGTCGCACTGGAAGATGCCGACCTGACCCGAGCTGCCCAGGACTTCGGTCACCTACTGCGGTCCGAGACGCGCACATGTGCTCCTTCTGATCGGATGCCTTCAGTCCCTGGTCCTTCGAGATGGTCTGTGACCGTCGGCGGGGACGCAATCATCTGGCGAGATGGCGCACCAGAATGCGATGCTGCCTGGGACGAGAGCAATAGCATGGGTAGCTGCTGGTTGACACGACGGTGTGAGGCAGCGACCGGATAGACCATCAGACTCCAGATGATATTATGTTGTCCCTGTCTTCCGGGCGTCCTTCAGACCTGAACAAACCATCTTAGCACAAGTCTCGTGCGTTAGTCTAGTCGGTAGCTAAGACTCTACATGTGATTTGAAGGGGTGAGTGGCAGTTGAGCCTAGGATACTAGCATCCGACCCTAGCGCGTGCAACAGCTGCGAAACTCAAAACCCTATCCACTGATAGGCCCTAAACCCGAAACCCATAACCCTCAGAGTCATAAAATCGCAGCCATCCAAAAACAAAGACTCTTCTTTGGTGTTCTCACATCATCCGCTGCAGATAAGGAACCCTAAAAGGTAGGTTTTTTGGGGGCCAGGTAGACCCCTCAGTCGCTTGTCATCCCGTTGGGGTCCATGTGCGATATATAGTCTGTATATACTTTGGCCCTACAGGGGTTTTAGGGAAGTCCAGGGTATACTTAGAGGTTCATGGGACTTAGTAACTCAGGTTACACGGGGCCCTTCAAGGGTTCCTTCAAGGGATCTTATGAGTTCTACAAGAGTGGTTCTAATGTATACGCGGAGGATCGTGGGACTGATATAAGTAAGATAACTATATATACAGTTATAATTACTTACAACCCAGTCAGGGTACTTGTAATCTTACTTACTAAGTCCCATTATCCTCCAAGTAGACCTATCCTAAACCCTCAACACGACATCATCCACGCCCCTAGAAGGCTATTTCTGCCCAATTCACTGAGACTCACCCTCCAAGCAGCCGTGGAAGGACTTCAGCGGCGAGATTGCGAAGATGATTCGGCGATGGAAAAATGAGAAGTGCCCTTTAGGGTTTAGGGTTTAGGGGTTTAGGGGTCAGGGTTTCATGCTTGGGGTGTTAAGGGAATGTGGGTTCAGGGCGAAGGCATGTTGCGGGTTGCCAGGTCCATTACACTGTTTGGAGTCTTGGGTGTTTAGTCTTCAAGATGTTGTGCATGGTTCAGGTTCCAGGGCCTTGTGGTTTAAGAAACCCTAAACCCTAAACCCTAAGCCCCTAAACCCTAAACCTCTCGAACCTAAACCCTAAGCCCTATAACCTCTAAACCCTAAGCGCTAAATGTTTAGGCTTTTCTGCTCCCAGCTCGGAGGCTCTCCGAAAAAGGTTGACACCTTAGCTGAGCCTAGGGGTGGGATGATCAGGGCTTTGAGTTTAGGGTTTTAGGGTTTTAGGGTTTAGGGTTTAGGGTTTAGAGGTTTGGGTTTAGGGTTTAGGGTTCAGGGTTCAGGGTTCAGGGTTTAGGGTTTGGGGTTTAGGGAAGTACCTTTGACCCGGTCTGAAACTTCCAAGGTAGCTGTTCGTCGTAATGCAGAATCCTAATAATTACCAGTATTATTCTTAAGGCTCCTTAGTACAATTAGACTATAAAGGAGTCCCAAACTACAATTTACTTATTAAGGCCCCTATTGTAGCCTTCTTGTCAGGATATTTGCTATACTACCCCAATGCGAACTGGGAAAGCCCTGAACGTTTCGACACAGTTTCTGCAACCCTTCAGGCCTTAACGCCGTACACCCTACCTACCCTACACCCGCAAAGTCCTTAAGCCCCAAACCCCTAAACCCCATGAAAACGGAGGAGCCGAAAGCTTCCGCAAAGAGGCGTGAGGTAGGGCCAGAAGGCAGCAATAAATGCTATCCAGGCTCAGAGATTAGGGTTTAGGGTTTAGGGGTAGCTCAAGAGCCGCCAATAACCTATCGTTTTCGAGGTTCCTTACTATGATTCTTCCTTGCAACCCTAAACCCTAAACCGTAAACCCCTGAACCCTAAACCCTAAAGTCCTTGGAAAGGTAGGTTTAGGGTTCAGGGTTTCGGAGTCCTGAAGCCAAATCCGGAACCCGTGTAGTTAAGCCCGAAATCCTACAGCTAAGATCCTGATCCCATGACCATCTATATATGCCTTGACCCTAAAGAACCTACCCGTTTAGGGTTCCTTATTCTGATTTCTTTATACAAGTCTTCAAAAAGGTCGGTTACTTGATATACATATATATATATATATGCAACTTGAGGGTTTACGGTTTTTAGGGTTTAGGGCCTAGGTTTTATAGTTTATAGGGCCTAAGTTCATGGTTTTTAAGGCTCAAAAAACCCTAAACGCTAAACCCAGCTCCAACCTGCCTTGTAACCCTAGGACCCTGACGAGCACCCTTGCGCAATTCTGGTGAAGCCCTTGGTAAAACCTTAAGGGTTTCGGGTTTAGGGTTCACGGTTTAGGGTTTCGTTGGAGCCACGGGCTTGTCATAGTAGCTACATGGGCCGGTGAGCAGCACCTGGACATGCGGAGTGCGCTGGGCTTCAGCTTACCAGCCATGAGGTCATGCTGTGGACGTCAAACCCAACACCAATCCGTTTGTGAAAACCACGAGCACGTTGTAAAGCAGGAGCTCTGACAGAAAGAGCTATGGACAATGGACCCTAATATAGTTATAGCTGGGACATCAAGATCACACGCCATGTTTTCCCGCAAGCTCCTCGTGGGTTTGCTTCTGGTTCTCACGTGTGCTTCCACGATGCGGGCAGCACAGATTGGAGGAGCCGACACGCAAACCTCGTCTTGGTTTGTGCGAACCTTCTCCGGGATCTCAGAGGGCTTTCGTCTCGCACGTAAAGCGATTCTCCCTGAGGCACCCCAAAGGCTGCCAACCAAAACCAAGCTGATTTCGGTCGGCTTTGCTCGCACGGGTACAACAAGCTTTGTCACGGCCTTGAAGCAACTCGGGTACACGCCCTGCCACGACAATGAAGTCATGGAAGTTGCGGATTTATTGGCACAGCGCTTCAATGACACGCACCCCATGCCCGTAGGCGATTTCCTGCATGAGTTTGGAGCGCGGGGCTTTGATGTCCTGTTTTGGTTCTCCTACGAGATTGTCGATTGGGTCGTCCAGCACCCCGAGGTTGACATCAAGTTCGTCCTTACGTATCGCGACAGTGGCCGCAAGTGGGCCGAGTCTTGGGCTTCGGTAGCGCACGGGATGGACATTTTGTCGTCACGACCCTTCATCTGGATCGAAAGTTTTCATGGCGTTTTGAAAGCCTACAAGCACCTGCTCTGGGGGATTCAGACACAGGGACGGCCTGAGTTGCGAAGGGATGTAGACGCCTTGGAAGAGAGCTACTACAAGCACATAGAGCGAATCCGAGCTATGATCCCACCGGACAAGCTGCTCGAATTCAACCTCAACCAGGGGTGGAAGCCTCTGTGTGAGTTTTTGGGCACACCGGTGCCAGACACCCAAATGCCACACGTCAATGATCGCGTCGTCATGCAGGCCTTGCTAGCCACCCTGGGGATGATCACGTGGATTTGGCCTGTGGTTGCCCTGCTCCTGGCCTACTGCCTTCTGGTATCTGGAATACTCTTGAGCATTTTTCCCCAATAGTTTCCGTTGTTTTGGGGTCCAACTGGTGCCTCAGCGCTAAAAACTATGGCTAAGAAAAAAAATATATATATATATATATATATATATATATATTGCTTCACCTTGAGCTCCAACTGGTGCCGGTACGATTTGGTGTCGGAGTACTGACTTTGCCTGTAGGGTGGGATGGTGGAACCCGGCAGTGCCAATCGCATGTTTACATTGGTTGTTTGTGGTCGATACAGGCGTAATTGCAACCTGTATTTTCATTCGTTTCATATTTACATCAGCATGGACCCTTTACGCATGAACAGCCCAGGTAGTGGTGCGGCGGCTGATTGGTTTTGGGCCAGACGAGAACACTGCCAAGAAGCGACTGTAATGTTACCATGCGTCAGCTGCGAGCGGGACGAATGTAACATAGCCCCTCATTTGTTTTAAGTTCTAAGAATGTTAACGCTGGAGCACGATGCAGAGGTCGCAGCATACTGTGCCAGCATTCTCCGAGTAAATCTCAGATTTTCGAGAGTTTGTGTCAGCATGTGTTGCCCGAGCAGAAGAAAAGCCAGCAGGCGGAGTCAGCGAGCACCAACATGAGTCAAGGTCTACCTATAGTCTCCATTGTAGTTCCTTTTTTTGGTTTAACCAAATATATATTAAGGATTTTATAAGGTATCCACAAAAAGGAACTACAATGGAGACTATAGGTACTTAAACTCCGTCAGAAGGGTATGGGGATTCTATCAGGCTACGACCGTGAGGAATATGAAGAGTTGGAATATCGCCCGTGCAGTGCAAGCGGTGTAGGATGGGCCATGATTGGCCTTCGCATTACGTATGTCCCGTGGTTCAGCTCATCTTGATTTCAACACAGGGGAGTTTTTCCACATAGACCTTGTACAGTCCCAAACTAGGACCCCCAGAATCCCTATAGAGTCTTTATATGATTGAGGATTTTCTAACATCCCCAGGAAACCGAGGGCATGCTCTTGAGGAGGCGAAGTAGGAACCCAGAGATCCAGTGTAGCTCCTTTTGGGGTTTGTTATGTTGGTTCGGTATGGGATTACGCGCTGCAGGCCGAAAAGCTACATACTGCATAGGATCCCCTGGGTATATAGGTCGGAAACTCCTCAAGTTACCGCAAACGCTTCTAGTTGCCAAGTGCAAATATTTCATCTCGTTGTTGTTCACCTCCCATGGGCGCCTTGGATTGGTCATAGCCATCGCCTTAACCTGTAGCCCTAAATTCTTCCCCGTCAGGCCGATTCTGCAGCGGGGGTCCATGCAACAGGGGTGCTGAGACTGTTTACAAAATTTGGCCTGAGTTGACTTGTCTCAAGCATTCACAGCATGTCGACGGCCTCAAAATTTGGGAGTCAGGCTGGCTGTCCCACTAGCATCTGCGAAGTAGTGTTGATACCGAACGGTTAGTTGGTGGGGCATGGTACTTGGGGCGGAGGTTGTGGCTTCTAGGCTTTGTGTCCTGGGTTTGGAAAGATGAGCTTCTTGTGTTGAGCTTGGGTGCGGTTGTGATGCGGTCTGTCACACAGCCCTTCCTTGCAAGGTACGCCCCGGAGATCTTGCCCTTCGACCAAGACACGATCGAGTTCTTCGTCAACGCCATTTTCTCAGCGTCCCAAACCTCTTAATTAGTTTAGTCCGTTAGTTACCTAAAGGATCTTAAGTACCTAATAAAAGTAGGGTTACTATAGTAGGATTTCCTACCGTGGTTTGGGTAAGTATCCCGTATACAAGTACTTAGGACCCCTTGGGTTCATATATATATATATATAATATAATATATATATATATAGAAGCCTAAATAATTACCAATATTACTGTTAGGGTTCCTTATTATAGTAATATATACTATAAAGGAGCCCCTAAACCCTAAATCCTTATAGTAGCCCTTATAGAACCCATAGTAATATATACTATCTGTAAATCCTTATAGTAGCCCTTATAGAACCCTTTAAGGAACCCTCTAAAGGAGCCCGACACCCTATGCTAATTCTTAAGGCCCCTACATTTCCGGGGGATTATCGATATGATCCACCCCTGAAGCCGAAACGCCTAATCCCTAAACGGCCGCGTGCTAATGTAGGGGCCTTAATCATTACCAATACCATGTCAGGGTTCCTTACTATAGTTATAATTTGGTTTAGGGTTTAGGGTTTAGGGTTTAGGGTTTAGGGTTTAGGGTTTAGGGTTTTGGTTTTGGGTTTAGGGTATAATATAATGAGCCCCAAACCCTATTCTAATTATAAAGGCCCCGAAATTACTTACGATATCCCCGAGCTGGAGGTTAGGGTTTCTGGTTTCCCTTTTGTGGTCCCTAAACCCTAAACCCAGAGACTCCAATATTCCTTAAGGAATATACCTTAAATCATATTCGGGATCCTACTATAATTTTAGGTATAATCGGATATTCTGGGAACCCTAAATCCTATCGCATTGCGATAACATCTCCCCCAAAGAACCGATAAGAACCTTTACTGTGTTCGAGTTCTTAAGGCCGCTACCCTGAACCCTAAACCCCAGACCCTAAACTCCCTACACCCTAAACCCGCAACCCGAAACCCAAACCCCTAAACCCTAAAGCCCTAAAGCCCTAAACCCTGAACTCTAAACCCTAAACCCTAAACCCTAAACCCTAAACCCTTCTTAACTGAGAGGTTTTGGAGTCTCTGCTTCTTGTTAGAGGTGGGGGGAACCTCGGGCGTCGAGGGTTGCTTTGACGTGGCTTTTAAGGTTTAAGCTTTTAGGTTTGTAAAGCTTGGGGCTTAGGGTTCAAGCTTTAGGGTTTAGGGCTTGAGTGTTTAGGGTGTAGAGTTTAGGGTTCAGGGCTGCGGCTTGGGGTTTAGGGCTTGGGGTTTAAGGATAGGGTTTAGGCTTCAGGGTTCAGGGTGTACTGTAAATGCTGCCTGAAGCCTGAGCAAAAAATGCTTTTTGGGGTTCAGCATTGTGCGCATGGTGTCGGTGTATAAGTCGCAAATATTCAGGGTTTTTCGGAGTGCAGGTAAGCCTTGACGGCACGCAAGAAACCCTAAACCCCTAAACACCTAATTAAACCCTATAAACCCGAAACCACAAAGCAGCCCTCCGCTCTGACTCCTCTGGTTTGACTTGCCACGCCTATAATGTATTTTAGGTAGTATTATTAGGGGTACCCCTTAAAGGGTACCCCTTCTGAACCCTACTTTTGGCTCTCTTAAAAGGGACCTTATTGAGAGGGTCTATATCCTCAAGGGTCCCCCTAGCATATTTCCATTCGGCGCAGTCAGAGTCTTTGAGGGGCGGGCGTTGGTGTTTAGGACTGCAGAGAGATCCCTTTCGTGGTTTCAACTTTGTACTAGGGTTTAGGGTTTAGGGTTTAGGGTTCATGGACTAGAGGTGCTTATAACCCAAACAGGGGTACTTATGACCTTATTCACTAATTCCCACGATCCCACAATAGGTGCTTATAACCCAAACCGGGGTACTTATGACCTTATTCACTAATTCCCACGATCCCACAA